GTGTGTGTGTGTGGCCAGCTCAGCCCACCAGGGGGCGGGGCTGGCTGGCATGTGGTGCTGGGGATCGAACCGCGGTCCCTGTGCTTTGCCGAGCTTGTTTCAAGTAGGTGCTTTAGACCACTGAGCCATCTCTCCAGCCCCTAAATTTCATTTTTTGTGCTGGGAATCAAACTCAGGACGTTGTGCTTGGCAGACAAGCGTTATGCCACTGAACTATATCCCTGGCAGGGTGCTGCATTTCATGCTGTAGGACCTTTGGTAGTGTCTGTTGTTCAGTACTTCTGGCTTTGCAGTAGAGGATCACTGCTAGAAATGAGCCAGTTGAAATTAAAGGAGGAAATGTTTATCCAAATGTTGTGAAGTGAGGCGGAGTGTGTGGCATTTATAACATTGGTGTGTGGTTTGCACATAGAAGAGCGTGCCTAACTGGAGCTTGCCTAGTGCAGAGGAAACCGTTCAGCCTACTGAGGTAAGAAAGTGGGGCATCTGCCCAGTAAAATCACAGTCACACTTTGAACTGAGCCTCCTCTGGGCTCTCGTCGGTACATGGCAGCGTCGCCCATAGAGAGGGCACTCTTTGACTTCTGTCTTCCTTGTTTGCACAGAGCCTGAGCCCTTGTGAAGCCAGAGATGACAAGTCTGAATGGCCGCCATGCCGAGAAAACTGTTGACATGCCAAAGCCGTCAGCCCCAAAAGTGCACGTGCAGAGGTCCGTGTCTCGAGACACCATCGCCATTCACTTCTCAGCATCTGGGGAGGAGGAGGAGGAGGAGGAGGAGGAGTTCAGGGAGCACCTTGCGGGGGTGCTGGATGACCAAAGCGTTGTGACAGGGCTCGAAGCCAAGGAGGACCTCTGCCTGGAACCCCAGGGTGGCCATGGCTCTGTGGGCCCTCGCGCTGCGCCCCTTGTGGCGGATGGACTGTCCACGTCCCAGGCCCTTGCTGTTTTGCCCGTCTCCGAGAACACTGTAAAGCTGTTGGAGTCCCTTCCTCCAGCAGCTCAAGTATTAAATACAGTGCCATCGGCTCTGTCTCCAGGGTCGCCCCTGGCCAGCTCGCCCAGTGTGTCGTCCCTTTCTGAGCAGAAAACCAGCTCCTCCTCCGCACTGTCCTCCCCGTCCAAGTCTCCCAGCCTCTCCTCCAGTGCCTCAGCCTCTGCCCTCTCCAGCACAAAGCCCTTCCTGAGCTTGGTGAAGTCCTTGTCCACTGAGGTGGAGCCAAAAGAACCCCCGCACCCCCCGAGGCACAGACACTTGATGAAGACGTTAGTCAAGTCTCTGTCCACCGACACCTCCAGGCAGGAGTCAGAAGCTGTGTCCTACAAGCCACCCGACTCCAAGCTGAACTTACACCTCTTCAAGCAGTTCACACAGCCACGCAACGCGGGTGGAGACTCCAAAACCGCACCTTCCTCCCCACTGACTTCTCCCTCCGACACTCGCTCCTTTTTTAAAGTGCCCGAAATGGAGGCGAAAATCGAAGACACTAAACGACGCCTTTCAGAAGTCATATACGAGCCTTTTCAGCTCCTTAGTAAAATCATAGGGGAGGAAAGTGTGAGCCATAGGCCCAAAGCCCTGTCTTCCAGTGCTTCAGAGCTCTCCAACTTGTCCAGCTTGAACGGGCATTTGGAAAGCAGTAACAACTATAGCATCAAGGAGGAGGAGGGTGACTCCGAGGGGGATGGCTCTAGCAGTGACTGCAGTGTCCCCAAGAGCGACCCCTCGAAGTCCACCGAAGAGCCTGTGAGAGAGGGGGAACCAAAATCCTCACAGGCTGGCGGCCTGAAGGATTTAGGCCTGAAGACGAGCTCTCTTGTCTTAGAAAAGTGTTCTTTGTCTGCCTTGGTGAGCAAAGAAGATGAAGAGTTTTGTGAACTGTACACAGAAGACTTTGAGCTGGAAGCAGAGGGTGAGGGTAGGCCTGACAAGCCCCCAGCCATCCCTCTCAAGTCAGAGGTGCTCACGGAGGACAGCGCCCTTCTGGACAGTGAAGAGGAAGCGGATGTGGCCGTGCAGCACCCAGAATTGCCCGTGAAGACGCTGGGCTTCCTTATGTTGTGCGTCTACGCGTACCTCATCCTCCCCCTCCCCCACTACGCGAGCGGACTCTTTCTGGGAGTTGGCCTTGGATTCATGACTGCAGTTTGCGTGATTTGGTTTTTTACACCACCAAGTGCTCCTAAGTATCACAAGTCACACAGACATCTGCAACACTGGCGTCTGAGCTCTTTGGACATCAAAGAACCTGAAATATTAAAGGTAAGACTCCTTAGCCACCAGCAAGCACATGTGCTTTGTTACAGCCTCACTGTAGACGTTTTTTCCTTGTTCAAAAGAAATCATGTCCACAGGTAACTCAGAAAAAAACATTCCTATCACACCAGTGGAGAGAATTAGTTACCGATTTGGCATGTACTGTAGTTGCAGTTGCTCCTTAGATCGCGTGCGTGGGGTCTGCGTCATGCAGGAGTGTGGTGCTTCGCTCTTGTTTTGCTTTATTGGGCTTATACACTGCACAGCCTGACCTTCTTTCCTTCCTTCCACATGGCACTGTGATCCAAGACTGTTCTTTTCAAGGGAAGCTGGCGTTGAGTCTTTTGAATGAGGGACTCTTAAGCTTCGTGTTGGTGGGTGAAGCAGGGCCGAGTGACTCACACTGCAGCGTGGTGCTGGCTGCCACTGGTGGGTCACATGCCTCCAAGCGAGTGAGTGCCCGCTGACAGACTGTGGCATGCACTTTTAAGTAGTTTGAGCACTTGTCTTGGACAAATTTTCATTTTAATCCATCAGTTTTTAGTGCTGATCCCTCATGGCTACATCTGAGCAGTTCACCAGTGGAAGCCCCTGGACGGGACTCTGGTGTGGTGCTGCTCTGGTTACAGTGCCCGCTGCGACAGTAAAGGCGGCAGCTGATGCTGCGCCCTGCCGCGCCCAGTTGTGGGCCTGCTGTTTCACTACAGCCCTCTGCCGCGGGTTGAGCGCTTCTGGAGAAATGAGGCTCAGAGGCGCGACCTGTGATCGGGCCATGAAGGACTGTTTTTTGTTGCTAATCACATAACAGCACAATCTGTGCAATTTACAAAACAAGTTTATTTTGGCTCATGGCTGTAGTACAAGGTTGAGGGGCACCCGAGTGGTAGCCTTGTTGACAGAGTGCTGAGGCAGCGGAGGCGCTCATGTGGCAGGCAGGCAGGCAGGCAGGCAGGCAGGCAGGCAGGCAGGCAGGCAGGCAGGCAGGCAG